ATGTTACGACGTTTACATTTTTGTGATGTTTTATCCATTTAGGTAGAATTTGACTTCCTACAATGATATATAACCCACGGTTTACCCTGTACAACTAATTACAAATATATCACGAATTGTTTATCAGTTATCTGTCTTTTATTAGCTAATACTAGAACTATTACTTATCAAAGTCATTAAATGATAAAGTGAAGCCGGACTGTGTCACTGTCTACACAAGATGAATACATTCTGTACGTTAGACAACTTCTCCACTACTTTTATAAGTTTACAATTCTAGAGTCTGTATGACGACCAAAACTACGGAGGTTTCAGACAGGAGACTCACGAAGGGAAGAACGTGAAGGAAATCTTCCTTGTACTACACGTGTAGAGAAAGTGGCTACGAGACGAGGAGGAGGTTTGCAGACTGGTCGTAATGGACCAGTTTCTGTCTGGAGAAGTTTGGACTTCCACAACGGAAATCCAACTCCTTTCCTTACCTCATCACCTGTTCCTTATAAATAATAAGTATATAATATAATAATGTCCTTACTAAAAGTAAAGACTCTGTGTTTAGAAACATCGCTATCGTAACCAAGAAAGTATAAAACCATATCTGATTTTTGTGTGGTTCGGTTGATTCGTTAATAGGATGGTAAACGTACGGAGAGGGTACCATTCTACATCGGGAGACAGTCTGACGTTCGGTTGTTGGAGCAGCTAGACAGAGAAGGACGTTATGGCCACAACATAACGTGTTGAAAAGCGTTTCGAAGAAGAAGTCGAGAGAGTAAGAGAAGGAGAATGGAAACGGAAACGGACCAACGACAGACGTTTCACTTTGCCTTTTTTTTGACACAGTACCACGGGTCTTACAAAAACAACAAAAACTTTTTCATTAAAGTTATTCGATGTCAACAGCTTGGTTTGGGGTACTGACTGCTATGTCTAAGAACGAAAGGACGCGTTTTCTCACTGTCACTACAAGAGTTATAGTGTGGGACGGTCAGAAGTCATGTGGGACCCCGCACTGAGAGAGATTTATCAACGTGTTTTTTTGTTAACCTTGCTTCTCTATGTTAGTCACTGTCATGAGTCGAAAGTTATATTACCCGGTTGAATATAACCACACAGATTTGAATGTCATTCACTTGTCTACATATATACCTCTTTGGACACATACAGAATGGACACTGATGGGTAACGGACTGTAGTATGTGGGTGGACGACATACCAGAGGACAAGTTCCAACACGAGGAAAACTTCAAGCGACCTCGACCGGTCGAACGGTTTGGAAACGAAGAGACACTAGAAAATGTTTTTTTCTTTACAGTCGCTTTTCGTGGGTACGTTGTGGTATTACGTTTCTTGTGGTCAAAAGTTCATGTTCTGGAAGTCTTTCTTGTCAACTTTGTAGATACTGTGGTAGACTGAACGTTCTCCTTCTACACCCTATTCCCTCTTGTATTACATATCATCGGGTACTCCAAATGTACGTCTGTAGGAAGTATTTTATACATTACAGTCTACTCTTGTGTTAACAGTTAAACGGGAATGACAACTGTCATAGACACCCGTTTGACTACTTCCCAACAGGGAAGAAGAAGACAAGGTCGGGTACCGGGACAACTCACTCGTACAAGTAGAAGGGGATTTTCTCTTGTTTATAAGGTTGTTTCATTTCATATAAACAGTGTAGTCCGTATGACTCACTCTTTGGACTACTGTACTGATTTTGTTAGCAATTTTCACACTGACCATAATGTTCATGTCATTAGGGGATACTTAATTCTTCCCTTGAGAGACTATTTCTATGAATAGTCCCGACGGAATAGTGTACACATACAATTATGGTTGGACGAAGACAGTACACTAAGACACTGGTTCTCGACGGGACCTCTCTTTTCGACCAAGTGGATATTTACTTTACAATGTTAATTACAAGCCAGTGGTAATGTATTATTCATAGTGAGGATGTGGTAGTATCTGAATTTGACCTACCGAAATTCTCTTTGAAGCACATGCTGAGATGTTATACGGTTCACGTAAATGGACAACGACTGTATACTTCGACCGGTATAGAAAGTAAAATTGGAGTCTGTATTTTCTTATAGAAAGTTGATTAGTTGCCGAACAGTGACTTCTACTTGTATGTATAACATGACTTCGAAAGATAATTCTGAGAACATAGGTATGCATGTTATTACGGTAATTTCTTTTATGGACCGAGATGAAGGGGAGAGAGGTGACACAAAGGACGAGGCAGGACTGAAGACGGGTGGGGTAGAGTGGGACGTTGTGGTCGCGTTTTTTCATACAATACATCGTAAAGAAATCTTCAAAAACTATCAGGTTATTCCGTACGGTACGGTGTTGTAAATTTTTTTTAGGAAAGTAATTCTCAATACATGGAGCGTAAAAACGACATACCCGAAATCGTACGTAGTGCGATTCTTTACGGAGTAGAACGCCAGGTTGCCGTCTTCGAGACCATTAGGGGGCCGATAAAACAATTCCATACCGGTCATATTTCTTCGCCTCGTCGTAAAACACCTGGTTATAGTATAGTAGATTTTCGACGACTCCGTACCCGGTAAAATTTGTAACAAACACCTACACAGTTATACTGTCACTCCTAAATGACGTACAATGTATGTCTTCTTTGTTGGTAAATGGAAGAACCCTGTAGAGAAAAACCTCTTTGAACCCATTGCGCATATAAGAGGTACCTTCCCAAGTCACGGAGCATTCTCATTGGGTATCAGACTAATTGTCTCTTTAGATGGGGACAATTATTATTTGACTGGTGTCGTTCCGGACCAAATTCGTGAGTAGAGACAGTAAGATCCACCGATATTGTTTTTTATTGTGAACCTACGATGCTTTACTACCTTATTTAAGGTGAAGTGGGTAGTTTCACAAAATTACGACCAGGTTAAGGAATGTTCTGAATCTGACACCTAACTGGTAATTTGACTTGATTACTCTGGTCTGAGTTCTTGGTTATTGTGTATATGTGTTGTGTCTTGTGTGGAATGTTTATGTATGGACGTTTGACGGTGAACTTTACGGGAGGAGCAAGATAGACCCGTGGTCTGAAAAAACTGTAGAGAGACGGTGGCCACTTAGAACCGTCAGGGTGTCTGCCGTGACAGTAAAGGGTATTTCAGTCAAATAATGTGGTGTTCAAAACTGTATATATTGTTTTCTTGTGGTGTCCCACATTGACGGCTGGATAGTATTAGATTTGCAATTGTCATGGTTTGTTTACATTCAGCCCTTTTGCTGTGTGATTATTCCTCTACAGATTTCGGTGACCTGACAGAGGATGCTGCACAGGGGCTCAAGAGTGTCCTCAGTCGGAGGTGGCACTTCCTCAAAAGCCAACACAAACAGGCTGTACATGCGTACAGCGGTGTAGCCGCTAATGCCATGATCTTCAATTAAAGCAGGACATTGAGGAGTCGGATGACAATGACTACACTAGCCCTGAGTCTGAGGAAGAAGACCTGTAAAGGTTTCTGCCAAGCAACGCAGAGGCACTGGAGAGCTCTTTCACAAGCGACGTGTCACGTCCACATGCTGGTGCACGCCATAATAATGACAAAACACATTTAAAACACACTTAAAGCCATACAAAATAAAGACAGAATGCAGCAGCTCGTCTGGTCTTCAACCTTCCTACATTTTCCCACTGCACACCGCTCCTCCGCTCCCTTCACTGGCTTCCAGTAACTGCCAGAATCCACTTCAAGACAATGGTACTTGCGTACCATGCTGTGAATGGATCTGGCCCTTCCTACATCCAGGACATGGTTAAACCGTACACTGCAGCACGTGCACTCCGCTCTGCATCGGCCAAACGGCTCGCTGCACCCGCACTGCGAGGGTGACCCAAGTTCCCATCAGCAAAAACACGTGGGTTTGCTATCCTGGCTCCAAAATGGTGGAATGAGCTCCCCATTGAAATCAGGACAGCAGAAAGCCTACACATCTTCCGGTGTAGACTGAAAACTCATCTCTTTAGACTCCACTTCGAGCAATAGAATTATTAACAAATAATTACTAACAAAGAATTACTAACAAAGAACTACTAACAAAGTACTAACAAAGGACTGGCTTATCTAAAGCCAGTTGAGTAGCAGTTTAAATGTTTTGGCTCTATGAAACCTGATGTACTTATATGATTCTGTTTTCTTCAAGTTTGTATCTTCCTGGTCGAATGCACTTATTGTAAGTCGCTTTGGATAAAAGCGTCAGCTAAATGCAATGTAATGTAATGCAGGGCGGCTGGTGGAAAATATTTTTGGTGGGGCTGTTGATACAGATGTAGCACTGAATTTCAGACTCCAGCTTACAGCTTCCTGCCTACGACCTGCCTAAGACCAGTATAGAGGAATGTTAAGCCCTCCCACTATTTTCCAAGAGGGCGTTGCCAGATTTTCAATTTCAGGTTTTAACCAGGAGATGGCGCTTCATTCACAAATACAGAAAGACAAGTTTCATGGACTTTCAGTTGTGTTTTGAAGAGCATTTGAACACATCAATATCTTAGATCAACTAAAGTATATCTAATCTTGTAATTCAATAATATATAGTCTTTATATATTAAATAATCATAATTATAATGTAAATGTTTACATTACACTTCTGATTTTGTTATGCTCATACTATACCTTTACAATCGTTTGCTTTATTATGCAGTATATTTTTTGTATATTTTTGTGTTTGCTTCCTCCTGCTCCCTTTCGGACACATACTGTATGATTTATTATTATTATGAATATGAAGATATTATTAAGATAAGATAAGATGTTACTTTATTGATTGAACATTTTAGTTTAGAATGTGCTGTCCCACAGTAATTCAGAAGGCTCACAGGTCACATTCCGACCATTATTTAAAACAATAGGTGCTTTCACACCGTCTACAGTTTGATTTGTATAGAGGGAGCTCTGTCAGTTTTCGAATTACCCATTTGCTTTCGGGGAGCCCTATTTTTCAGAGCACATCCTGCTACTAAATATGTCACACGCACGCTCTGTTGACTGGCGCAGCAGCGCGGATGCAATCAATTGCTATAAAAACACTCTTCTACTAATACAGACGGTGTCACTATGCCGGCGGATGTGGCCGTTGTTGAAGCCTCTTCAGGCTCCGCATCGGCAGGCCTCTCCCTCGGTGTGGAGCTGTCAAGCTCGACCCTAACGCCGCTTACAGCCGGCCAACTAAAAGTTGTTTTCCGTTCACGTTGTCATTTTTAGACTCCTTCGCTTCTTTGCTTGTGAATCCAAAAGCTGTGACGCTTGGCTGTTTTCGTTTTGCCATATTTTTTATTACAAAGCCAGTGTTAAAAAAATATCAATATGAACATTTCAAATACCGCGCTGGCATCACCTCCATAACCATAGCAACGTAAGTAAGAATGCAGCGCCACCACGTGCAGATGGCAACACCCAGACATATTCACAAATATTGTGATATTCCCAATATGTTAAAACTGTACATTACAATTGGATAGTCGGATTTAGGTGCCTATATCAAGAACTGTCATTACAAACTAACATGTGTAAGCTGTACTGACAACAACTAGTTGAAGATTGTTTTTATATCTCAAAGTCATGCTGCAGGTTGGACATCGTACTTATTTTCCAAACTGACCCTTACAACTGAATGCCAGTGTGTACTGAACAGTTGTCACTCATGCGTTCCACCGTTGTAATGTATACGCTGTTGCACAGATGATCAAGAGCATAACTGAGCTGTAGATTTCATTTAAAAAACAGATGTGATTTTACACTATTCTCACTCATAAATGAATGATAAGAATAAGAATAGAGAGTACTTAAACAGAAACCAAAAATCACAGTTGTGGCAGTGTATAAAAAGCAATTCCATCTAATGCAAATCCTTGATGTGCCACAGGCTTTACAAGGAGCACACTGCAGAAAACATACCTGGAGTAAAGCCTCAGCACAACCACAAAAGGACAGGATTGGGCATACATCTTCATCAGATGAGGTCCTGGATCTCCTTGTCTGTTGATGGCGAAATAGATTTGTCTTCGCTTTAGACCTAAAATTGCGTTAGATCTTTTTCTACAGCCCTCAGAGCTGATCTTTCATCGATATGTGTTTTTAGAAGGGACAGCCGTTTCTCTTCTTTTTCTCCCTTTGTGGTACTGCATCTTAGGTCCAGCTTTTGGCGATTGGACGGAGACAAGGGTGAGCAAAGGCGTTGCGAGAAAGTCCTAGGAACACACAAATAGACAAACAAAAAAGGAAAGGCGCGAGTAGAGGAAGGAGGTTTGTGAGTGGAGAGAAGGATGCGAGTGGAGGAAGGAGGCTGCGAGTGGAGGAACAGTGTTGGACTGCCTGGTAGAGGTTCTGGGTGGTGGGCGTCTGTGACTTGGGATCGGCGCAACAGTCGATGTCATTGGAAAAGCTCTATAAAAGGCTAAATTCCCAGTGCACGCGACCCGCTGAAAAATATGCGCCAGAGGAAGGGGCCTCTTCACAATGCCCGGCGATGTAACTGTCATTGGGTTCCTGTGAGTTTCATCCAATTGTACAGCGGCCTGTTCGATGTGCCTCTATCAGTGCCCATATCAGTGCGAATCAAGGGCTGTAGTTTGTGAGAACAGTGGGAGGAAAGAGGAGGAGGATGAATCCCATGGCTCCCAATACGCAAAAAATTACTCCCCTCCACAAGAAAGGTAGGAAGGAAATGATTGCTCCAAGATCTAGACCACAAACCTTTGACTCTGGGCTTGGTATGGCTTCTGGAAGTGCTTCGAGGAAGACCAAAAAGGTCTACTCTTGCATCCACCCAATTGCGTCGCCAATAAGCCCAGGAGGGCCATTGCTGTGAAGAAGGTGAACTTCTTCCGCGTGGAATTCATCATAAGGGATGAATTCCCCAATGCATTTACACAAGCAAAGCCATAACAAGTATGAAAGCAAGTTAGGCCGCTCGCAGATGTCACACTGCCAATACGTAAAACACTTTCTCCATGGCAACAAATCTAAACCCAGAAGAGATTTTGGACGTTTAGACCCGGTTTCGTCCCATATTCCAAGTCCCTGTGGGACAGAATCATCGCTTCAGTCAGGACAGCAGACAGGTTTGTACAAAAAAATATTTCACCATTTGATATATGGTTGCGCTTGCAGCCACGTAGCCTGAGCGTATGCGAGAGGGTAAGGTGCCGCTTCAAAACGTTGTAGCAGTCAGCTCCGGCCATCTCTTATCCTTGCCCAATGTTTGCAAGGAAGTTGCAGCTGTATTCCTTATAGCATCATCAGGCAAACTTCGCACTAAAGAATATACATTGGAATCTATACAAGTCTGTTCACTATAGGACAAAATAATCCACTTACTTTCCTTTTGTCAGAAAGCTAATAGATACAAAAGTATCTACCTTAATTACCTGACCTACCTCGCTTTGAGCATACAATAATCCCAGCCCTCAGCCTCCCTCCATCAGGTGTCTCTCAAATAGCATCTCTGTCTGTTGAGAACCCTTCCTTTGAGCTCCAGTAGACGCACTCCTGGGGGTGTGTGTGAATCCTGACTCTCAACCTAGCCTCTTCTTTGGAATCGGTACAGGGTGAATGAACAAAAACAGGGACCATGCCACTTCTGAATGTTTGCCCTCCTGAACTCACCTGAGGCCACCCTGCAGCAGAGCAGTGGGCACTCCCCTGTCGGTCTTCCTCTGTTGATACTCTGGCATACTGAAACAAAAACACACACTTTTATGCCCCATATATTAATTCTGTTTATTTTACAGGGACAATGCAGCACCAGTAGTCTTATTCACCCTGCTTCAATCTCATCTAGTATGCATAGAAAGGTACAGGTGCTGGACAGGCACACCTCTAACCTAACTACTGCTAATGAGCTAATCCCAACGCCTCCCTTTGTTCGAGGTGTGAGATATCAGTAGGATGTGAGATCTTCAAGTAGGGTGAATCCTCGATAGGAGGGGGTTGATGTTATCACAAACACAGGATGTGAAAAAGCCCCCACTGAATTGCAGCTTATGGTGGATCATAAAATGTTTCAAATCCATAGTAAAAAAGTGACGGTGGGAAACCGCCCCAAGGTCTTATAACAAAATCCAGCAATACAATACAAAACAATTAGTATGGACATAAAGTGACAAAGGCCCGCCCCAATTATACAAGAAGGGGTGAGGAGATAAAAAAAAAAAGAACACAACGTGCAGATAAGCCGTCATTTCCATCAATACGCAAGTCTTTTCCCAAAAAGAAAAAACAAATTTATCACGAGACAACCATGATCCGAACAACCATTAACCGCCATACCACAGTCGAGCGTCAATCAAGAACGGAGTATCGTGCCGGGGTCAACCTCCGGTCGAAGACTTGAGAGAAATGGCTTACTGCGAAATGACATGTTTGGGGATACCGATTCAACTATAGGCGAATGAACGCTTTCTACAACTGAAGAGGGAAACGTATGGACCACCACAGTTTAAAGCAACCGTTGACCTCAACAGATGGCGGTTAACTCTGGTTCCTTTCCGAGATCTCCACGCAACCATTGTAATCGGAAGAATAGTGCAAATCAAGAAACAACTGTGGAAACCAGCGGTGTACAAAATATGTGCCACACAAGGCAAAGAAACCAAACAAAACGGCGAGATCAAA